GCAGGGGGTTTTCTTGGGAAAATATTATTAATACAAAGTTTCAAAAGTTTTAAAGATTAAAATATATAGTAGAGTATATGTTAAAAACGATGCATGATATCGTGACCGGAAAAGACCCGAGTAAAAGCATATACAAAGAAAATACTTCACATATTGAAGCAGAAATGGAAAACTTAAGAAATGAATTTGCATAAAATCAATATTCATTGCTATTAAAAGTTGAAGCATTGATAAAGGAAATGGAAAAATCAATCAACAAATCTTCAGCAGACGACAAATATATAAAAGACGTCAACCAGAGGAAAAGTTATTTGGAGAAACGTTTAAAAGAATGCCAATTGTTATAAGCAGAACACCAATAATAATCTAATTTCATTATTAAATCATTATTGAAAGAAAACCCCAAACGCCCCATACTATGCCCCATAAATTGAATAAACCTAACCTTGCCCAGTTTAGGATGTTACATCACCTGATAAATAGGATGAGATAGAGTATTTTAAGGATAATGAGCTAGTTATGATTATATGGCCACGGTGATGTAATAACCCAAACTGGCGACCCATTACCTTGTCCATTTTGGATAATTGCACCTTATTTTCTATATGGTAAAGTGTTTTAGGATATTATGGCTATGATCTGGGCCACGGTGGTGCAATTACCCAAACTGGGCAAGGCCTTCCCTGACTTCATGAAGGCTCCTAGGTCAGCGAAGGATTTTGACGGTTGTTTTGGCTTGCATTGTTACGCGTACGACAGCGAGGACTCGGAGAAACTGTTGATGCCCCCATCTGGCCCTGCAGCTGCAGATGAACTCATGGTTGATATGTCAGATGAAGAGAGCTTCTCAGATTGGGAGGGAGAAGAGGAGGAAGACTTTGACGATGATGAATTTTGAGATTCGCGAATGTCGCAGATCTAGAGGAAGCCAGCAATTCAGATTCATCTCTTGCTCAAAGTGAAAGGGGACACAAAGCACCCTCAGCTTGTTTCCAGCTGTATTACTCTAGACCAACAGTCCGACAATCCGGAGGATTCTCCCTAAAATCCGCAGACATCTAAACTGAAACCGGGAACCCTAAAACCCTAAACCCTAAACCCCGAGACCCGAGACCCTAAACAAAAAAAACAAAAAACCTGGAGTTCTTCTCAGGCCTTCGCCGCCGGACTGGAGACCTGGCGAAGTGACAGGAAGGGCCTGGATGGGTTGGGGATTGGGGGTTTAGGGTTTAGGGTTTAGGGTTCAGGGTTCAGGGTTTAGGGTTTAGGGTTTAGGGTTGCGACGCAGACGCATGATAATCTGATAAAAGCCACCAGGTGACTAAGCCTTCGAGTCCTAATTCCCCAAATTTCCCCAAACCTAAGACGCCATCTCCACATGACCCAGAACACTTGTTGATGTACCCGTTGCTCGGCGGTCATATAGGGCGGTCTTGTGGGTACTTGGGGTGTCAGGAAATTAAATCCTAGAACACGTTTGCTTGGGGGACCTAGGAGAGGCGGGAGCGTCCCTAGAGTTTAGGCTGAGGAACAGGCTTATCTGAGATGTCTGGACATTGCAGGCGCTCCAGCGGTGCTTTGTCTACATGGCTTCAAAAGCCGGACGCAAGTTCTGCCGCAGGCGCTGACTGGGGGGCTTAGGGTCTGGGGTACCGCCGGGTAGGGTGCTACGACTTCTGACTGCAAAGCTCCCCGGTGTAAGGTGGTGACAGACCCTAAGCCCCAGCGGAATGAAGCAGCTGCGAGACATGAAGCCCAGTCTGAAACGGAAGAGGTCGACTTCGTGTAGCCTTTGATAGCTGACTCAAATAGTGTCATTGTGGTTAGCGTTTAGGGTTAAGAGTTTAGGGTTTGGGGGGTTCTACTTCTGCTATCATCCCGCAGAGGCACATGTGTCCGGGCTAACTCACATCAAGCAAAGGGGTAGTTCTGTTTTTGTTTTGTTTTCTTTTCTTTTTTTGGGGGGAAGGGGGTGGTGGTGGGTCTTTGTATAATGTGCTGTATTATATGGGGGGCCCAAAAAAACCCTATATAATTTAGAGAAGCCCGAAACCCCAAGCCCCAAACCCAACCCCTAAAACAGTAGACCCTACTTTAGAGAACTACCCACATACCAGGAACTTTTAGTGTGACCACGCACCTCTAGGCTTCATAAGACAGGTCTAGGGTTCGTAGGGTTTAGGGATTAGGGTTCAGGGAGGTTCCCCTTGATTTCTGGAGTCTATTTAGGACACGATGACTCCCGAAGAAAGTCCTAAACCCCAAGCTCTGACCCCAGATTTGCCTGCGGCAGCGCCGGCTGTGGCAGCTTGCGCTGCGGCGCCCTTGGTTGTGGGCGGCACGTCTGCAGTAAGTGCCGAACACAAACGGAACCTAACAGTCTACTTAAGACTCCGGAAGCGCCCCAGACCCTCGACCACTCTTTGATTAAGGAATGCACCTTGAATCAGAATAAGGATCCCTATATCGTTTCAGGCACATTCCTTGATGAAGGGGTGCTGGGCTTTCCGGTTTGAGGGTTTGGGGCTCAGGGTTTCGGTTTGAGGGTTTAGGGTGTGAGGGGCTTGTCCTTTTCGGCAGCCTTACTGTGCTAGCGGGGTGCCGCATTCAAAAGGGGCCCCTGCATGGCACCCTCACAGGACTCTAGGGGTTTAGGGTGTAGGGTTTAGGGTTTAGGGTTTAGGGTTTAGGGTTTACCCACCCCACCCCTTTGTGGATGTGCTCTTGGCAGACCTCATCGACGATGATGAGGATGTTGCTGACGTTGAGCCTGGCCGCGCAAATCTGCCCTCGGCAGACCCAGGCTAGGAGGGCCGCAGCAGGGTTAACTTGGGATGTTCCCCCTTGTGCTAACAGTCCTTAATAATGATTACAATAGGGGGGTACTGTAATCCCGGTAATCCCCATGAAGGACCCTTAGTATAAGGGGGAACATCTCAAGAAATTATCGCTTCTGCTATGTTTGGGTTCGGGGTTTCGGGTGCGGGGGCACCCGCTCTGCAAGAGCCAGGGTGAAGCTCCCTTATCTTTTCCTCAGGTGATGTTCAATCTTCTTCCCAGAGAGCTCTTTAAAAAAACCCTTAGTTAAGGAAGAGACGTTAATTCAGACTAAGGATACCCAAAACGTTTGAGCTATATTCCTTAGCTAAGGGGTTTGCGGGTTCTCTGGGTTCCTGAAGCGGAGGTAGATCTCACTTAGCCATGCCACTCTCGTGGCTTTTGGATCTGCCCATCTTTGTTACGTGTCGAACTAGCAAGGGCCCCTCCTGGCGGTTACCCTGAAGCCCTGCGTGTGGTCGCCCCCTGAGCACGAAACCTGAAAAGCTTCTAAGCCCCCATAGCCCTGAACCCCAAGAGCCCAGGCACTAAAACTGAAGTTGCCAAAGCCCATTGGGGGTTCGGCCCGAACCCTAACTTGCCCAAGAACCCAAATCAGGCCTTGTTGGGCCCCCAAAATAGACGAAACCGCTTCCAGTTGCAGGTTTTGGGTTCACTTGGGTTGGGTGAGGGGCCTCCTTTCTTTACCAGCGGCCTTAGGGCTTAGGGCTAGGGCTTAGGGCTGAGGGAGCCTCAAGTTTTGCAAGCAAACCACGCACAACTGATAGACCTGACTAAGGATGTTGCTTGAATCGCTTGGACCGTGTAGGGTTCAACCCCCGCCCCAAGCCCCTAACGCAATGGTTTACCGGCTGAGAAATGGAGTTCCTTTAAAGATCCCTTCAAAAGGGAGGAGAACAGAAACCTATTTCCCTTGATACAATTAATATTCATCAACTTCAAGTGTCCTCCCCTGTTCCCTGCACAGGCTCCGGCACGACAACAATCGACCTTCGGGAGTAAGAAAGAAGAAGTGCTGCACTTTGCTGAGCTGAGGGTTTAGGGTTTAGGGTTTAGGGTTTAGGGTTTAGGGTTTAGGGTTTAGGGTTTAGGGTTTAGGGTTTAGGGTTTAGGGCTTGTTTTTGTTTTTAAGGTCGAGGGTTGAGGTGAAATTGTTTTTTGTGTGTGTGGGTGGGTGACCCTAAACCCTAAACCCTAAACCCTAATCTCGAAGGACTACTGCGGTCCTGAAATGCATGCTTGGCAGCCCTTTTGACTTCGCAAGTAGGGTTAGTCAGTTGGGTTATGGGGATTAGGGGGTTTAGGGTTTAGGGTTTAGGGTTTAGGGTTTAGGGATTACTACAGGGTTTCGAGGGGATACTCAGTAGACTTACTAAGCCCTAGAAGGTCTAAAACCCCTGAAGGAGGAAACGGACTTAAGAGGTTCGTGGTTCACATGCCCGAATAAGGGTTATAGTCTGTTATAGTAGTACAGGGATCCCCTAGACCCTAGACCCCAAACCCTGCTATACTACTGGCCCCCAATCAACGCTCGAAGCCCTGAACTCCCAGATAAAGCCTCCTTGGTACTTTACTGTAACTTTAGATCCTTGACTTTTTTGGGTTTATTGGGTTTCTTATTAAGGCAGCTAAAAGTTTAATTTATAGCTACCCTCCTGAGTGCAGCCAAGTTGGGTTTAGGTTTAGGGTTACAGGTTCGAAGTGCGAAACAAGCACCTGGGCTTTTGTTAACCGGGGTGTAGGGTTTTGGGTTTACAGCAGAAAAATAGACTGGCCAGATTCAGAACATATAACGCAGGCTCTAGCTGAACCGCTAAACCGAAGCCCAAAGCCCGAAACATTAAAACAAACGCCATAGCGATCTCTGCTGCGAGTTGAGGCAGGACCCCTGCACTTTTTTGCCCCATCAATCCTATGAACCCTAATTGGGAGTCCTTTTGACTCGGAAAGTAGGGTTAGTCAGTTGGGTTATGGGCTTCAAACCCCCCCCCCCCCCCCCAAGCCTTAAACCCCAAACCCTCTGCTCAACCCTAATGGCCTAAATGCTCCCAAAAAACCCGGACCCAAAAGGCCCTAAGAGGCCTCAAAGCCCTAAGATGAGCTCACAGCCCAAAAGCCCCAGCCCCTAAACCCTAAACCCTACTGTAACCCTAAACCGCTAGGCGGTGCTCGCCGAAAAGCTGGAGGCAGCGACGCTCTCGCGGCTCATGGCCGAGGCTGGCTTCGGGCTTTGCGCTTCAGGGTCTAGGGTTTAGAATTTAGGCTTTAGGGTTTAGGGTTTAAAGTTTAAAGGGGTTTAGGGTTTGGGGGTTGGGGTTTGGGTTTAGGGTTTAGGGTTTGGGGTTTGGGGTTTAGGGTTTGGGGTTTAGGGTTTAGGGTTTAGGGCTTGAAGGGAGTTGCGGGTTTAGGGTTTAGGGTTCAGGGTTCAGGGTTTAAAGGGGGTTGGGTTTTGGGGTTTGGGGCTTAAGGTTCAGGATTTCGGATTCAGGGTTTAGGGGTTGGGGGTTGGAGGATTTGTAGTACTTACATGGCTTAGTTTTTTTCCAACAGAGTTTTTGGATGTTTTTTGGCAAGGTATAGGCTTCAGGGCATGTAGGTTTCAACGGAATGCGGCGTCAGGGTTTGTGCAACACCTGGACGTTTTGGTTTCGCTGCTCTGTGCATGGTCTACAGAGCAGGATTCATGAGGGACATCTAGGGGGCAGGGTCGAATGTTCGGGAGGTGACGGACTCCGCCCTAAACCCAAAACCCTAGAACCCAAAATCCTAAAACACTAAAGCCTGAACCCTGAACCCTCACCCTAAACCCTAAACCCTAAACCCTAAACCCTAAACCCTAAACCCTAAACCCTAAACCCTAAACCCTGCAGTTGAGGGTCTAAGGTCTCCTATGCTGCGGGGTTTGGGGCGGAGGTTCCGTACACCCGTTCAGACCTCAACCTGTCCCAAGACCAGACCCTGAACCTTGAAGACCTTAAAGCTAGAAAGCCTAACAAACAAACAAACAAACAAACAAACGAAGCAAACAAAACACAACCAAAAACAAAACAAGCAAGCAGAAACAAGCAAAAACAACCAAGCCCGAAGAGCAAACACCAAACAAAAAATGGCAAAGAAACCCTAAACCCCTAACTTTAACGACTTCTAACAAGAGCTGCAGGAGAGAGTGGAGGAGCTCAAGTCCGCTCCCCTGCTTGGGTTAGGGACGTAGGGTTTCAGGGCTTTGGGGAATTTAGGGAATCTAGGGGGGTTTTTAGGGGATTTCGGGGGTCTAGAGGCTTTGAGGAAGCTAGTGAGTTTGGGAGTTTAGGGTTTAGGTTTGCATTTTTTCCGGTGGCAGGAGAGGGCGGCGAGCAGAGGGGGAGAGGGGAGGGAGGGGGGGGGGGGGGGACCCTAAACCCTAAACCCTAAACTGTCCCGATGCGGCTTTGGATCTTGGGGCTTGGTGGTTAATTGTGGGCTTGAAGTACAGGGGTTAGGGTTTAGGGTTGTAAGGGTTTTAAGGGTTTTTAGGGTTTTTACGGTTTTAAGGGTTTTTAGGGTTTTTACGGTTTTTAGGGTTTAAAGGGTTTAAAGGGTTTAAATGGTTTAAAGGGTTTAAAGGGTTTACGGTTTAGGTTTTAGGGTAGTTGGGTTTTGGGAAGTCTGTGGGTTGGTGTTGAGGTCTATCGCGGTATTTATTCTTCAGCCTCAGAGCTGGTGTTTAGGGTTTAGGATTTAGGATTTAGGGTTTAGGGTTTAGGGTTTAGGGTTTAGGGTTTAGGGTTTAGGGTTAAGTACCATTAGAGCATTAATCAACAAGAAACCACGGTCCAAGACATCCACGGCGTCACTTTGTAGCTTCCCCGCCTTCGGGGGCTCTCGTGCTTTAGCTGGTTCGATGCCTGTTTTACAAATCCCCTACTTGGAGGTTCATGGTACTTACTAACACCTTATAACTGGGCTTGTAACCCTACTTATTATTTAGGGGTATTGTAAGTAGGGTTACAAGTACAGTTATAAGTGGTTAGTAAGTACCATGAACCTCCAAGTAGGGGATCTTGAGCCCCTCCGGCTGCAAATGGCTCGATGCGGCCGCTTTCTTGGCCTACTCGTTCGACACCGTGTCGAACATTCGCAGGGCTTGTACCGCGATAGGCCCTAAACCCTAAAACCTAAACCCTAAACGGTTCGCCACCTTGCCGGCTGATGTCATGGTGTCCCTGGAGACAGCCGCAAAAGCTGCGTCGGTCAAGCACTAGGCTCTGGCCGCTGGTGCGGAGCTTTTCACCTCCCACGCTGCGTCTTTAGGGGTTCGGGGTTTAGGGTTTAGGGGTTCGGGGTTTAGGTTTTAGGGTTCAGGGTTTGCCCCGCAGCTTCGTGCGTCGACAGTTCCCCTGCCTGAGTGTCCTTCAGGTTCAGGGTGTTGTTGCTGTTAATGTAAGACTTGGGATGTTCCCCCCTTATAATAGCAGTCGTTCATAGGAATTATGTAGTACTCCCTAGAATAACAAGGGGGAACATCCCAATGTAAGACTCTGTGCACCCTCTAGCCGCGAGGTTGGAGCTCGCCGAGGCTGAGTTGCGCCGGGATGAAGAGGCTGACTAGCTCGGGCTCAGGGTTCAGGGTTCAGGGTTCAGGGTTTAGGATTTAGGGTTTAGGGTTTAGGGTTCAGGGTTCAGGGTTCAGGGTTTAGGGTTTAGGGTCTAGGGTTTAGGGTTTAGGATCCTCTTTAGCAGCATGCTCTGGGATGTTCCCCCTTATACTAACAGTCCTTCATACAGGATTATAATAGGGGGTACTGTGATCCCTTGTTAAGGACTGTTAGTAAAAGGGGGAACATGCCAAAGCATGCTCCCCCGATAAAAGACATGTTCGATGGCTTGCAGCGCAATGGATGACATTTCGGGGTCCGGGAGCTCGTAAGAATATTCTCGGATGGCTTACATTTGAAATCACCTGCACGGACCCCCTCCCCAGGAACCTGTAAAACTCCTACACTTCTCGCCCATCACCCTTATCCCACCCGGAGTATCCCCACAGAGGCCTAGCCCAGAGTATCCCCACAGAGTCCCTGAGCCCCTGAGCGCCCAACCCCAGAGTATGTCGCTCCCTGCAGTGCCCACATTCAGATGTGTGAGTATTCCAGAGAGTCACTGGAGTGCCTAACCCAAAGTGAGCTCGCAAATTCCTTGCCTGCAGGGTCGGGATGTTAGAAGTAAAACCTCTTTTTGCTTCAAGCGCGCGAACGCAAGATGCAGGCTTTAGAGTTGTGGGTGGGCTTAGACAGCTACAAAGAGGCCTCCAGAAACCCCCATATCCCACCCCACATATCCCACCCCAGACGTCTGTGAGGCAGAGACTCCAATACCCCTTGATTTAGGTAGATTCCTGAAACCATTCACAGAACCCTACTATATTTTCAAGAAAATTCCATCATTAGGCGGTGTTGGAGTCTCTGGGAAGGCAGAGGAGCGTGCGCGCCTGCTTGTCAGCGCGGCCGCGATCGCGGACTGCGCTGCTGCCCCGGCGCCTGCCGCGCCACCGGACTCTGAGGACCCGCTCTCAATCTTGAAGGTGGCTCACGCCGTAAAAGGCCCCTTACGTGCCCTCAAACACCAAGAGAAGTAAGACTTGAGAACCCTGTGCAAAGAAACAGTCCTTTAGAGTCTTAGAGTAGGAGGGAGTTCTAGAGGCTTCTAAGACTTTTCCCAGGAAGGGTTGGCAGGAGTGGCCCGCAGCCTTGCTCCGGGACCCTCCATGGTGCTTCTGTTTACTTTCTTCCTTTCCAACTGGCGGGGTGTGGGCCCAGGATGTTCGCACTTCCAAGTACATTAAGCTGCTGTTTAGCATGGAGATTGCAACTGAAACCCTGCTTCAGATGCTTGCAACACTCGCCCTGAACCCTAAGACACGAGCAAGACGTTCACGTGGGCACAGCAACATTGTCTTATCTTTGTGGTACTTTACTGTAACTTTAGATCCTTACCTTTTTTGGGTTTATTGGGTTTCTTATTAAGGCAGCTAAAAGTTTAATTTACAGCTACCCTCCTGAGTGCAGCCAAGTATTGTCCGAAACACCTTCCCGTGCGCATGCTGTCAGTGCAGGAGCCCAACAACCGTCCAATGCGGAATTAACGCCAAAGTATACAGAGGCTCTTGTTCTTATGAATTATGGAGGAGGTCTCCCTAAACCCTAAACCCTAAACCCTAAATCATGGACCTCAAACCATGCCCTACACCATTCTGGGAGGATGGCGCCATGGCTGCTCTGACGCGACTCGGCACGCGGATGTTCGTAGACCCGAAGACGGTTGACTATGATGGGTTTAGGGTTTAGGGTTTAAGGTTTAGGGTTTAAGGTTTGGGGTTTCGGGTTTAGGGTTTAGGGTTTAGGGTTTAGGGTTTAGGGTTTAGGGTTTGGGTTTGGGGTTTAGGGTTTAGGGTTTAGGGTTTAGGCATATACCTCAAGGCACGACGGCCTGCAGAACC